ACACATTCTACAGGTCCTGAATTTCTTTTCTGCCAACTGCCATCGATAGCAATCTGAAGATGGAAGCATCTCGAGGACAAGATGATTTTTGGTCACCATGCAAAACTTCACAGAGACTGACAAGCTAGAGACATATTTGCTTTGTATTTTTCAGAGAAGTAAGAAAAATTTGAAAAAATTAATTGGTTATGGTAATATGGATCATTCTGGAAAACTAAAGCCTACTACAAGTTCTTCTATGAAACTAGGGACAATTCAGATTTAACTAACTCAACTTTCTGAAGGAAAGGTTTTTTAAGTCTGACTTTTAAAATTGTGGCTACATGTTGTTACAGAAAGGCTAAAGACAATTTGAAAATTGAGGTTGGCTTAATAGCAAAACAATGTTACCTGCATTTAAAGCAAGTACAACAGTGTTTCGTTTCATGCCTGAAAATACCCCATGGAACTTCTAAAGTTTGACTTGCGGATTCAATAATACAGAATGAATGAGTGAAAACACTGTGGTGTCACAAGAAGGCCCTTAGATAGAAGTCGGGAGGCCTCAGCTCAAACATTAGGTCCTTTGCTTATTTATGGCGATCTGCACGAGGTCATTCAGGTTCTTCTGAGCCTCTACTTCTTTAGGATAATTCATTCCTATCTCAGTGCTAATCTTAAGGACTAAGAGATAGAAAGAGGTAATATATGATAATAAGCACTTATTAATATTTCAATATTACTTGTTCAGATATATGTCACATCTGTAATAGATTTAAAAATTTATTTATTTGGTATAGGGTCTCACTATGCAGCTCGGACTCGTAGAGATCCTCCTTGTTGTGATCCTCCTGTCTCAGGCTCCCCAGTGCTGGGATTACAGGCATGTGCCACCACACCTGGCTTTGGGGGCTGGCACAGTGCACCCGGGGTTCCAGGGCTGGCATGATATGCAGTAGTAGGGACCGAACTCGGGTCCTTGTGCTTGCCAGGCAGGCACTTAGACCACTGAGCTATCTCCCCAGCCTGTAATAGTTTTGAGCTGCTTAAAATCTAACAACTTACAACCAAAGTTGATAGTATCTTAGTTGTCTAACATAGGAGTAAACAAATGATAGTGGCTCAACAAATGCTTTGCAGTGTTTCACTTGATATGAATGACTATAAGCAGAAATAAATTCCACAGATAATTTAACAAACATTTATTGTGTGAACATTGTTGTGCTGGGTCCCTTGAGAATACAAAACGGATCAGACATGAAATGTGCCAGCTGGGCACTTACAGTCCACCAGAGGATATCAGAGATATGTCTAAGTACCAAGATAGAAGATTTGAAATGGCCTCAGAATGGTACAAAGCAGGCTGAAAGCGTTCACCGGAGAAGTCACTTTAGCTGGGGAAATCTTGCAAAGGACATTGTGAGTTGAACTTCGAAGCACAGAACCTAGACACAGAGGGGGTAGAAGGATGTCTAGGCCCAGGGCAAGAGAACTGGGCTGCAACCCCACTTCAGGACAGTGAAAAGAATTAGAAGGAAAGAGGCTTCCTTAAACCCATGATTCCTTGGTACTTACTACAACATGAAACCCCAAAGCCCACCTCTGTCACAATTTGGCATCCCTTGTGACAGTAACGCAGACACCTGCCCCGGCATTTGTATGTGGTTAATTTCTGGTTAGCTTTCACATTTTAATGTAATATTCAGTTACTAGAATGAAAAAGGAAGATCAAAGTGAAACATGTACTTTATGGGAATGAATATTTAAGAGATATTAGATATACTGAATTATAGGGTGTTAAAAATGTTCTTAATGTTTTCAAGCATACACTTGGTGTGGTTTCTTTTTTTACAAGATTGTATAACCTGGAATAAGTGACCCCCCCCCCATGTGGTCTGGATTCACAGCTGTAGAAGGGAGCTGAACAGTATGGATGTAAATATA